AGTTGGTCCTAAACCTTCGTGTTTTTGAATTTATTTGGTTAGGAGACGAACTCTCTCACCATCTACTTGTCAAATTCCCTAATTCCCCATAATTCCAATGTTGTTAAAAAAAAGAAAAATGAGAAAAAAATTTAAAAGAGACTATTTGGGAAAATTTGGTAACTCTTTTATTCTTCCAAAAACAAAGTATTTCTAAAATAAAAGAATGAAAGAACAAAAAAGCCAGAACATATCTACATATCCAAATTCAAGACAACCCTTTTTTTTTTTTTTTCTTTTTTAAACAAGGAAAACTGAGATTTGTCGGATTAGTCCATCTCCGGAATGCTTTGCAGGGCCGGCCTCCAATGGCGGTGGTGCTCGGGCAGCACCGTCGCATAGCCACCAGCTTCTTTGACCATCTTAGCCAGAACTTGTTCCAGAGACAGACCCTGCATGTTCACCTTCTTCGCCAACTCCTCAAGCTCCTTCTTTGAAATGGTAATCTTGACCTCCGTAGTCGACGGAGATTGTCCCAGAAGCCTCTCCATCTCCGGATCCCCATTATCATTTCCGCAGGGCTTCGAAGTCAGAGACCCCCAATCCTCGCCTGCCCACACCGCCGATGACTTCCCGTGCCGCATACAGTTCCCCATTTGCGATTTTCACGAAATCAAAACCTATGAATTCGTCTAAAAATATAATAATTTTTTTAATGAGTGGAGATTTTAGAAATGAAGAGGTTTTGGGTATATATAGGGGAAGAACAGGGGCAAGGCGACTAATCTTCCAAGAAAGAGGGGATGAGGATGGAGCTGGGTCTTAACGCAGACGCTTACGTGGAAAATCTAGCTCCAGTTTAGTTGACCAAACAAGAGACCCAGATGAGCTAGCCATCTCAGCTTGGCTTGGTCCGCTGGGATGAGCCAACGGCGGCCTGCCACGGAGGACAGTAGGCGGCGGACGTCCTGGCTTGAGCGCGGCTTCGAAGAAAAGCAGGGGACCAGCAAGAAAGTCAAAGCCAAAATGGGAAGAATCTCAATTAATTACCCCCTGTTGTACCTAATATTAAATAAACTGGACTGTTTGGGGGTGTGAAATGGATTAAAGGTCGAATCTTTGATTCAGAAAAGTATGAACGGAGATATGCAGATGGCATCTTGGACCCTGTTTTGTGTTCTTACAAAATTATCTTCATCTTCATTCCCCACTTTTAGGTTCTTGCTTTCCTTAAAAACTCTATCAAAAATTTCATGTAATTTAATTGAAAATTTAGTAAAAATAAATAATTATAATGACATATAATATTATAAATTTTTAATATGTTATTTTAAAATTGATTTTTTTATTTATAATATTATATGTCAATTATTATCTTTGTAAAAAATTTTGCTTTTTCCCAATGTTTTGTTAACCCTTAACTTCCACATTAAAGGTATACCTACTTAAAGTATAGGAAACAAATCTTAAGTAAGGACGCTGGCCAGGAAGACAGAGTTATGGTCGCTAACAATAATTATTAAAATTATAAAATATTATCTTTGAAAATGTTAATTTTGTTTAATTTTATTGATAAAAATAATTAAGAATAAAACTATTAACAATAATTAATAAAATAATTACTATTTAGAAAAAAAATTTGAACACTTACTTAAAGTATAGGAAACAAATCTTAAGTAAGGACGCTGGCCAGGAAGACAGAGTTATGGTCGCTAACAATAATTATTAAAATTATAAAATATT